TTTAAGCTTTTAGATTTAGCAATCTCTTCATCTAATATCCTACTTTTATGATATGCATCTGGGTGTGAATTGTGTGCGTGTTGCGAAGCACTACTACCACTGCCACTACTATTATTATCATTATTAAAATCAATTTCATGTTTTTTGATTTTAGGAAATTTAAATAATCTTTTTATTAAACTATTATTGTTACTATTATTTTTCAAACTTTTGTTTTTAATAATTTTGTTGCGTTTATCTTCAGAAAAATAATAAAGCTCTATACTAGTTGGTCTTTTTGATGGATCCACATCCCAACACTTCTGCATCATTTGCACATAATCGTCAGGCATTTCAGGTAGTATTGATGGTCGTAAACCTTCTTCACATATATCAAAAATCAAACAATGATTGTGACCTCTATCATTAAATGGTGGATGACCTGCAAATATTTCCCACATTAACATCCCAACACTATAGATATCTGTTTCTTTTGTGTTCGTTGTATTAGTTTTGCCTCTAAGTAGCTCGGGTGCAATATATGATATGATTCCATAGACTTTATTTGATGACTTTTCATCAACTGGTCCACATAATCCTAAATCTGTAATATAACAACCACCCCCTGCCATAAGTATATTACCACTATGTAAATCACAATGGATTAAATCTTTTTTATGTATTTGATTTAATGCAAGACATAAATAATAAAAGATTGTAATTCTGTCTTTTAATGTTAAATTTAAATGATTTTTTCGTAAGTAATCCCTTAAATTTCCTTCTAAATGATGATTTAAAACTATTGCATAATTCCCATTATCTGGGAATTTAGTTATACCAAAGCAAGAAACAATCATATGTGATTTAATTTCAAAATACTTTATTGCCTATTGAATATAAAATCAATTAGTATTTATTATATAACACAGTATTGTTTTAAATGACAACTACTAACCTCGTCAAAAAAGGCTTTTCCTGGATTACTTGAATCATTTAAACTTTTTAATACTACTCGTTGCCCTCCAAAATAACTAAACTCCTTTTTATTTTCATCATAATCAGTTATTCTACCCCTAGTCCATCCTGCAGTATAAATTGAACTAAATCCACCTTCTGTCAATTTTGTTATATCATAAAATTGCTCAAAAGGTATCCATTCTAAAATATAGTCTGGCAGGGATGATTTCATTTGACATTGTTGAATAAAATCATCAATTATTTTATTTCCAGATGTCCAAGTGGTGAAAAGACTCTGTAATTGTAAACTAATACAACCTTCACAGAATCTATTGGAATATCTTCTTAACTTACACTTGTTACATTCTTTTGATTTTCCTGATTTATCTCTTGCATTAATTAATTCAAACTGATAAATAAACCTTTCTTTACAATATCCTTTTTCATTTTCAGAAAGCTCCTTGTTTTTCTTGACTGATGAAAAAAAATAGTCTTTACTACTTTCTTCATCGGAATTAATTATTGCATTATCATACATTTCATTATAAATTTTATATATAAATTCCTGTCTTTCCTGTGATAATGATAATAATAGTTTAATATGTGA